TGTAATAAAACTATATACCGGTACCAAATTTCATCACTCTCACTTAATCAGAACTAAAGTTATCGTGTCCCAAAGCATCAACCAATCAAATTGCTTATCTCTCCTTACCCTAAGCAGAAAATGCTCATCTTCGAACTCCATCAAGGCATTCACCTAATAAACACCTACACCACGTTTGAACATTCTGGCTCAATTAGAAGGAGCGTTATTGTGTTCCAAAGTCTAGGCCAATCAAATTGCTAATCGCTCTGCTTACCCTGAGCAGAAAATGCTCATTATCGAACTTAGTCAAATGATGTAATGAAAGTATACACCAAGGTTCATCACTCTCACTTAATTAGAACTAAAGTTATCGTGTCCCAAACCATCAACCAATCAAATTGCTTATCTCTGCTTACCCTAAGCAGAAAATGCTCATCTTCGTACTCCATCAAGGCATTGACCTAATAAACACCTACACAAAGTTTGAACATTCTAGCTCAATTAGAAAGAGAGTTATTGTGTCCCAAAAAATGTGACGGACAGACAGACAGACAGACGAACCCATTTTAATAGGCCCTTGCTTTCTTCGAAAGGCGGGGGACAATAAAAAATTCAATAGCCTAATTAGGTATTGTTCTAGTTTGTGATCAGCACACACTGAAAACAGATCGAAGAGGCGTCTCCGCGATGTACTGCCCGATTTTGATCATCATGCAATTGGCTTATTCCCTATTCCAATCAAAAGTTTTATCGGACGGATTGTTGTACGGTAATGTCTGTCTGCACATGCGCGGAAATGGTATTCTCAAAAATCGGATTGAGAGAACTGAACTCTCAAACAGTGTGTGAATAAGGATTTAAACCAGCGGCTGCCAGGCAGGATACGCCCACATTTTCGAGAGATGGATAGAGAACAAGCTAAAAAGAAAATGATTTTTCCTACAATCAAGGGCCATCATTTAGGAAATTACAATTCGATATGTGCAAATATCGAAAGGAACCGAGATCTTTGTGTTATAAACTTACATTTCAAGTTTCAACAAAATCAGATTAAAATTGTGACCTCTATAGGGTCCACAGCCTTGATATACCATATTTTTACGCTATTTGAGAACGAACGGTGGCCATTTTGTCTGTCAATTTTCACAAAATTCGAACTTAGCCTTCCTTAGGGTGTAACGGTGATATATTAATACAGTTTTTTTAATCGGATAAAAATTATGTCCTCTATAAGGTCCACAAGCTAAAAACGCGATTTTCGTACAATCAGGGGCCATAATTCAGAAAGTTACAGTCCGATATGCGCGAATATCGAAAGGAACCGAGATCTTTGGGTTATAAACTTACATTTCAAGTTTCAACAAAATCGGATAAAAATTGTGACCTCTATAGGGTCCACAAGCTAAAAAAGTGATTTTTCGTACAATCTTCGATCTTCTCGAAGTGAATTCTGGTGTTTTAAAGTAATTTATTATTAATGTAAAATACAAGAAATTACGAAGGTCTTAAGTGCGAAATCTGATATTTTGAAAGTGAATTCCGGTGTTTTAAAGAAATTTATTATTAATGTAAAATATTAGTAAATACAAAGATCTTAAGTGCGAATTCCGATATTTTGAAAGTGAATTCCGGTGTTTATATATTTTAAAGTAATTTATTAAGTAAAATATTAGTAAATACGAAGGTCTCAAGTGCGAATTCCGATATGTTGAGACTGAATTCCGATGTTTATATGTTTTCAAAGTGAATCCTGGTGATTTAAATAGTACATGTAAGTGCAGGAGGACCGCACTACACGCAAAACAAACCAGCGGCTGCCAGGCAGGATACGCCCACATTTTCGAGAGATGGATAGAGAACAAGCTAACAAGAAAGTGATTTTTCCTACAATCAAGGGCCATAATTCAGGAAATTACAATTCGATATGCGTGAATATCGAAAGGAACCGAGATCTTTGGGTTATAAACTTACATTTCAAGTTTCAACAAAATCGGATAAAAATTGTGACCTCTATAGGGTCCACAACCTTGATATACTTTACCCTATTTGAGAAAGAACGGCAGCCATTTTGTCTGTCAATTTTGGGCCGATTTTCACGAAATTCGAACTCAGTCGTCCTTATGGTGTAACGGTGATATAATAAAACGTTTTTTTAAATCAGATAAAAATTATAACCTCTATAGGGTCCACAAGCTAAAAACGTGATTTTTCGTACAATCAGGGGCCATAATTCAGGAAGTTAAGGTCCGGTATGCGCGAATATCGAAAGGAACCGAAATCTTTGGGTTATAAACTTACATTTCAAGTTTCAACAAAATCGGATAAAAATTGTGACCTTTATAGAGTCCACAACCTTGATATACCATATTTTTACGCTATTTGAGAACGAACGGTGGCCATTTTGTGCCGATTTTCACAAAATTCGAACTCAGCCGTCCTAAGGGTGTAACGGTGATATAATAATAAGTTTTTTTTAAATCGGATAAAAATTATGACCTCTATAGGGTCTACAAGCTAAAAACGCGATTTTTCGTACAATCAGGGGCCATAATTCAGGAAGTTACGGTCTGATATGTGCGAATATCGAAAGGAACCAAGATTTTTGGGTTATAAACTTACATTTCAAGTTTCAACAAAATCGGATAAAAATTGTGACCTCTATAGTGACCACAACCTTGATATACCGTACTTTTACGCTATTTGAGAACGAACGGCGGCCATTTTGTCTGTCAATTTTAGGCCGATTTTCACGAAATTCGAACTCAGCCATCCTTACGGTGTAACAGTGATATAATAATACGTTTTTTTAAATCGGATAAAAATTATGACCTCTATAGGGTCCACAAGCTAAAAACACGATTTTTGGTACAATCAGGGGCCATAATTCAGGAAGTTACGGTCCGATATGCGGGAATATCGAAAGGAACCGAGATCTTTGGATTATCAACTTAGATTTCAAGTTTCAACAAAATCGGATAAAAATTGTGACCTCTAGTGTTCACAACATTGATATACCATATTTTTTACGCTATTTGAGAACGAACGGCGGCCATTTTGTCTGTCAATTTCGGGCCGATTTTCACGAAATTCGAACTCAGCCATCTTTAGGGTGTAACGGTGATATAATTGAACGTTTTTTTAAATCGGATAAAAATTATGACCTCTATAGGGTCCACAAACTAAAAACACGATTTTTGGTACAATCAGGGGCCATAATTCAGGAAGTTACGGTCCGATATGCGCGAATATCGAAAGGAACCGAAATCTATGAATTATCAACTTAGATTTCAAGTTTCAACAAAATCGGATAAAAATTGTGACCTCTATAGACTCCACAAGCTAAAAACGTGATTTTTCGTACAAACAGGGGCCATAATCCATGAAGTTTCGATCCGATACATGCCAATATCGAAAGGAACCGAGATCTTTTGGAGATAAACCTATATTTCAAGTTTCGTCAAAATCGGATAAGAATTGTGATCTGTAGAGTGTCCACAAACAAATTGTGGACGGACGGATGTCCGGACGGACAGGGGCGACGGCATAATACGTCCACATGAAAATGTGGGCGTATAAAAACTACAAGATAAACCTGCGGACAAGACCGAAAATAGACATTGTAATTCATTATTAATGTAAAAATATTAGTAAATACGAAGGTTTTAAGTACAAATTCCGATATGCTGGAAGTGAATTCTGGTGTTTATATGCTTTGAATGTGAATTCCGGTGATTTTATGTTTTAAAGTAATTCAATATTAATGGAAAATATAAGTAAATAGGAAGATTCTATGGGCGAATTCTAATATCTTCAATGTGAATTCCGGTGATTGTAAGTGAATTCCGGTGATTGTACATGTACATGTAAGTGAATTCCAGTGTGACAGTTTGAACTGACTCCTGGTGCATGTTTGCTCCTAAGCACTAGTGCATGTCCAAAACTGTTGTTTGCGCTAACAACGAAGTTATATCTACTTCCATTGGTGTGAGATGGTTCCTGATCACTGATCAGTTCAGGAAAAAGTATTATGTATTTGGTTAGAGTTTTATCATTAATAAACATACTTGTTAACGTGATTAGCTGTTGTTTTAGTGATCAGTAGTTACACGATCAACGGATCTTTAAGTTGATGGGCTTGAAATTGCTACTTCTATCGTTCGTGATTTGTTGCCGTTGGGTACTTTTTAGTGATTAGTCGTTACACTTTTTGATGTTTTAGCTATGTTTTAATAATTAACTATTTTGCAGATTGAATATTGGCCTTTATATGATTAGGATTTCTCTGTATCATTGCTATTTTAATTTTGTACTTGTAATTTTAACAACTTCAAAATATAGCCTATCTGTTTTATTACTCAAATTAGGGGTTTCAGGTCATGTGACATTAGCGTGAAATCTGACAGTCAGCGATTCTGAATTACTGTTTTATTTAAAAGTATTAGGCCTACTCGCAATTGTATTGTAAAAGTTTAATATCAACCTCAATATCTGCAAAAGATACCGTTTATGTACTGAAGACGCTCGCGGGAAAATACCGCTCTGACGTCAGGCGGCCAGGGATTTTCCATCAACGCGAATTGCTACGGCTCACTGTAATAGTGAATCCGCGCCTTAGTCCATTTGTATTTCTACTTTTTATCGAAATAAACAAACAATAGAAACTTGATCGACACCCTCTGATAGTAATACTATAGTGTAGAAACCGATTTGACCGTAACAAAATCTTAGGTGAAATCATATCACGGGGAGTCAATGCACACCGTGTCCATAACGGTGTGAGCTGACTCCTACAACCACACATGCGCTAAACGGTAATCACACACTAGTAACCATCTCACACTGTAACACCGGTGATAGTCTATGACTCTATCCGTGATGCCGATGGTGAGATGTCAGATGCCTGAGATGGTCTTTCGTATTTTTATGATATGTTGTAAATTTTCACCGGCAATTTCCAAACTCCAGATGGCAATAATAAAAGGCAGGGCTACTTTTCACTCAAATTCATCTAAACCTACCACAAAAACACTGCTATTACTTGCCCCACTCATATTAGTGCACACAGTCAAAATGGAACTTTATAATTCGCAGGTGCCCTTTCGTGTTATGTTTTTGTTGTGTAACAGTCAAGAATAGGTTCCTATAGCATAGTTTCGCATCCGATAAGATAAAGATAAGATGTTTATTGCATCAAGATATGCAATTTAAATAAAAGCTTATTTTACATCTTTAGCATACGGGTTTCTATAAACATATGATAATCTTTGACATTCATAATTTTATAATCTGATTATTGTAGTAGAATCGTAAATTTTAAGATAACTACGAAACAACCAAATAAAATTCCTAGCTCTGTATTACTATAAGTGAAGAAACCACACATTGCATATTCAGCGAAAATGACTGCTTTCGAAGGTTTGTATTTATCTAGTAATTTATGAATGGCAATCTTTTAGAATTACCCATGCAAGTGCTTTAAAGTGCTGTTTCTGATATAAGAAGCTCACCTGCTGTGTTGTCACGAATAACAACTTTGGCAAATTATCAAAACATCGTTGTTGAAAAGGTAGGCCTAAACTACTCCAGGGTGCCTTGAGGTTTCGTTCACACGTAACCTCAAGGATCTTTAAGCCGTCCCTTCTTAGAGCAATGAGCCACTGAATTGTTGGCGCATCAAATAGCCACGAGCTGAAAGGCGTCAGTCGATAAATTCTAAATGCATGTCCTACCTTATTGTGTTATCCACCTCTGAACAACAATAACACTTACTGACAGACAAACGTTGTTCAGTGAAACAGCAGGTTTATCCAATATCACATACACCAGCATTTATTTCAGTCGCCATGTTGGGATAGTTTGACCTTTTTTTGACGTCATATCCTCCGCATTAAAATTTGATGATCCCTGTTTTACGCGAAACGAAATTAATTTTTGTACAATAATTTTATGGATTGCGTATATGTACTGTTTTTGTAGAGGTTTTATATCGGAAATGAAGACGATGTTTGTTGAAGAATAATTAGGTCGCTCTTCACACGTAGTTGAAAATACACCACGTCTATTGAGAACTTAATAATTATTTGTTGCATGAGTAATTAGTAGTAGTATGCCTAGATCATGACCATTGCTTGAAATGAGGATTCTTCTACAACGGCACCAAAAATTTATAAATGCCGTAACAAAAATTAGCTGACAATTATAAGGCACGGCTGCCTTTCTTCATATTTAACAAATTATGTACTGTTGTCATTTTCCGTCACTGAACGTGCAACTTTTATATTTGTAGATAGACAAACTGCCCGTGCAATGATTTTCTGTGTCAATTAATCTGGTTCTAATTGCGTTTGGTGGTACTGTCATAAGTATAAAATTATACAGATTCCTCTTGGAGTAATAAAGTCATCGAAATTCTTTTTCCTTTCGATCCTTTAGTTATTCGTGTTCCCAATGGTTGCCATCATGTCATAACCTTCTATAATAAGGGCGCTATTTTAGAAAGTGAGCATTCTTATGAAAAAATGAATTATAAGGGTATGCTTGGGACACTATTTACAACTAAATCTTGCATTTCTGAATTATTGACCTAATCCCAAGCCCAGCCACCCCTGGACGAATGTATGATATATTGAAAAGTTATTACCTATGCATTTCATACGTCTACCAGGCATCGATATTTCCGCGCACGGCATGCGCAGGCTCATTTTCATGAAAAATTTTTTTTGCAGGCACATTTTTAAAGATGTAGCCACGCCGGCCAGCGCCTGCGCCCGGCACTATTTTTTGCTGCCCAGCACAAAGAAAAAAAATCGAAAAAGGCCCAGTCGTATTTAAACCCCTTCGTCCTTCTCTGTACACAAACTCGGCGCTCGAAATTTACCACAGCAATTAAACGGCAAAGCCATGGTAAAAGCCGACATACGCAAACCATGTCTGTCACGGCATAATTTATTTTTGTGTGCCGTAGTAGACCCTATCATCCCAAATTAGTTAAAAGAAAGATGTATTGGTATTTTGTTTATTTATACTTAGAAGATGTGTAGGCCTAGGTCTATTCATTTTACAATTATTCTACGGTCTTTATATTTGTTTATTTGCCGTAAATAGGTCACCCAGACCAATTTACGGCACTCCAATGTTAAAGGTTTGAATGTCGTAATTGTCCAACACGTGCCTGCAAATTTTCACGATGGTCTTATTTTATTTCTTACCTGTGTTGACCGTGGATTTGCTACGGCCCGAGAGTAGGACTAGGAGGACGATGAGAGTTTTCTCAGTTTCGGCCTGACCTGATTCTCATTCCACCGTAATAATAATAATATTCGTGAGACACGTACAACAACTTTACAAACAAGTCAAATAATACAACATGTTTTAATTATCAATATCTACAGGTTGTCATAATTGGTTGTACTCAAATAAAACACAAACACCGTTTTAATAATTTTTAATCTCAAAGTAATGAAGTAATATTTGAAAAAAAAACCCAACAAAACAACAAATACCGAAAGGTCCTCAACTTATCTATCCAGAGAAACAGAGTGGGGCGGGACAATTTTATGCTCGGTCGCCGGTCGGGTGGTGTCAAAAAGTTTTTAGATCCCTGTATCATTGACGAAAATTAAGTGAATTTGGTAAAATTTGAATATATAAATGGAAATTTGATTTGCACTGAACCAAATACAAAAGGCAGCAGATGCTCTGAAAATACACCAAGAAGGGTTTAATTTTCATAAAAGACCACGCCCCCTCCCAAAATTCTTTTTTGCCTCGCTCCGCTCGCCAAATATATTTTAACACCACTCACCAAATCCTGGCTACATCCCTGTGTTTCAGTATGACCCTGCAGGCACATTTTAAAGTGTGTGCGCAGGCACACTCAACTTTTATAGAGCCCTGACGTCTACATGTATATAAAAGGCATAACTTTTTGATACGTGTACACGTGGACAACGGCGCAATTTGAGCTATTTTTATACGCCCACACTTTCATGTGGACGTATATTGTCGTCAACCCCTGTCCGTCCGTCCTTCCACAATTGTTTGTGAACAGTCTACAGGTCACAATCTTTATCCAATTTCAATGAAACTTGAAATATAGGTTTATCACCCTAAGATCTCGGTTCCTTTCGATATTGGCATCTATCGGACCGTAACTTCATGGATTATGGCTCCTGATTGTACGAAAAATCATGTTTTTGGCTTGTGAACACTGTAGAGGTCACAATTTTTATCCGATTTCGTTGAAACTTGAAATATAAGTTTATAACCCAAAGATCTTGGTTCCTTTCGATATTCGCGCATATTGGACTGTAACTTACTGAATTATGGCTCCTGATTTTACGAAAAATCGCGTTTTTAGCTTGTGGACCCTATAGAGGTCATAATTTTTATCCGATTTAAAAAAACGTATTATTATATCACCGTTACACCCTAAAGACTACTTTCCATTTTTTGTGAAAATCGGCCCAAAACTGACAGACAAAATGGCCGCCCTCATTCTCAAATTGCGTAAAATATGGTATATCAAGGTTGTGGACACAATAGAGATCACAATTTTTATCCGATTTTGTTGAAACTTGAAATGTAAGTTTATAACTCAAAGATCTTGGTTCCTTTCGATATTTGCGCATATCGAATTGTAATTTCCTGAATTATGGCCCTTGATTGTAGGAAAATCACTTTCATTTTAGCTTGTTTTCTATCCATCTCTCGAAAATGTGGGCGTATCCTGCCTGGCAGCCGCTGGTTATTACCGTGGCAGTCTGTGTTTGCTTCAGCTTTTACTTTTTACGACAGTTTTGCCGTTATGCCGTGGTAAATTCTAGCATAGGCGGTATGCTTGAGATTATTATTTATAAAATGTTATTAAATGTTCATTACAATATAAATCCTTAAATTTGACGGCGTTCGTCGAATGTTTCATCGCTACCGGTTGATTATGATAGCTTCTGTCTTGTCAATGTCACGTGACATTTTCCCGCTTTTTCTATCGTTGAAAATATCTATAATAAAGCATTGAGTCTTGTATCACACACACAGCAACTAAAATAAAAGGGCTGAGTGCCATTTTAAGTAAGAGACTCAGAATATCAAAGAGTAACATCTAACTTGTTGGATTAGGCCTAAACAGGCTACTAACTAGACAGATTTCTTCGATTATTATGAACAAGCTACTTAACTTTGGTTATTCCTAAACTTGAAATCAACTCCCGTTCAATAAAATCCATTGCACAACTAAATATCCCAACGAATGAAAAAGTTCACTCTTAAGTTGATGACAACAATGCTTTCGTCACGTGTTGGGCGAAACCACTGCAGCTGTTGCAGGGGTGCTTTAATCTTGACAGATAGTTTGACAACCAACGTGTTGGAATGAAAACAAACCGCGATCATTAGATCGTTCGAGTTTGGGCAACGAAAAATATGAACTGAAGGCAATTACACAGGAGATTTATATTGAAACCTACAAACTTCTGGTTAACACATGACCTATAAACACATACTCGACCACCTTGAACGAAACAACACATTAACATCCCTAAACCATGGCTTCAGATCAGGCTACTCCTGCGAAATCCAGTTACTAACAACAGGCCACGGTCTCCTACAACAACATGACAACAGATCACACATAGATATAACGATTCTTGACTTCTCTAAAGCATTCGATAGAGTCCCTCAATGAGAGTCTCCTCCACAAGATGTCATTGTAAGGCATAGATGGCAACATAAACATTTGGCACCAGGACTTTCTCACAAACAGATCCATGAAGGTAGTAGTAGATGGAGAATCATCTGAGCCTGTTGCAGTCGACTCTTGAGTTCCCGAGGGAACAGTGCTTGGCCCCCTAGTCTTCCTCTGCCACATAAACAACCTTCCTGACTGTGTGAAATCTACAGTTCGCTTATTTGCTGATGACTGCCTCCTTTACAGACACATCAGAACTAGACGAGACCACCTGCAACTTCAATCGGACCTCCAAGCTTTAGAGAACCTAAGAGTTCAGCACCCAGATCACGAAGATCTCAAAGCCAGCTCTACCCTTGGTTTTCTGAAGAGAACACTCAAACACTGTACACCGACCTGCAGGAAAACAGCCTACTTATCGTTAGCGAGATCCATGCTAGAATACAGCTCCATTGTCTGGGACCCATACCTCCAGAAGGACATCAACAAACTGGAACAAGTCCAACGCCATGCCGTGCGCTTCATCTCTGGAGACTACATATTACGAGAACAGGGCTGTGTCACAAAGATGTCAACTACCACCAATACTAGACAGAAGAAAGATGGCGCGACTGACATTTTTCTACAAGGTGGCTGAGGGGCTGGTGCCAGCAATGCCTATTGACTCCTATCTGACTCCTATTCGTGGTAAATGGTTAATTAGACCAAAATAATTTGACAATTATAC